CGAGTAACATAACAGTATATTCGAGCATAGACAGAGTTAGACTAATTTTGAAGAGAGCGAATCATACTTTACATGGTCGATGTTTTCTGTTTTCTCGAGCAAGGTGTATCCATTAAATGCCGACGACTGATATCACTTTGTTCCTGGACCTCAAGAGGAAGATAAGCCGGGCACGACTCGTAGATTAAATCATTGTTTTGTGGTGGATCATTCAGACCCCGCCAAAAACACGCAACATTCAAATGCAACATATTGCAACCCTGCTGCGGCACAGCATGCTGTACACGTTTGTCTGCCCGTTTGCACCAAGCAACATCTTGGAACAGGGTGGCCAAACACTTGTGCGCTCAGGGGAGAGGGAGGGGGGGGGGCGCTACTCTACAATTTTCTACATGGGGAGACTCCGCCCCAAGGTTCAACCCCTTACCCTTTTGTATACCATTTTGACAGAACGGTGCTCCTTTCGTACACCTTTAAATGAAAAAGGTACCTCTTGAAGGGTCCGTATTATGAATAAATCGCCAAAAAAAGGAAATGTTCTTGTCATTTTCATGTAGTGCTTGATAAATGAAATGATACAGCCACAAGGTACGTTTGTTTGAAATATTTTAAAGGGGCCTTTAAAATAGCTAAATGACAGATTTCCTTACCCTTTAATATACCTTAACTTGTGAAATCCCTACCCTTTTATGTACCTGAAGCCTGAAAACGGCGCCCCTTTCGGGCGGAGCCTTCCAGTGCCACTATATGGAGTACCCCCGGGGCGAGGGGTTGTACGCGACAATGTTGCAGTTTCTTTCCTAAAATTCGAATTGAGAAGGAAACCTTAAAACGATATTCCAGCAGCAAATGTTGAATAACGTCCAATAGATAACAATAAAAAAAGCACAAGGATGTTTAAGATTCACAGGAGCGTTGATTTCTTGCAGGATCAATGACAATGCGGAAAAATATCTGCTAGTAAAATTCTTCAAGACGACGTAGTGGGTTTAAATTCAACGCTCTACATTTTTCTATAGTCTAAGTTTAATTATTTTGCACTCGAGATCTTTGTTCGTATTCATCTTCATCTTTATAAAGTTGGGTTCACACCAACTAATTTTCCTAAGTATTGTTCTTCCCAGCACTTTTGTTACTCTATTCTTTTTTTTTTTAATAAGAATATTGTTTCCCCGGCACAGGCTGAAAATAATTTTTCTGCTGATTTTAGGCTGAAAAGATTCTTGTGAATCTTCTTAGATTATAGCGTATAACATGTTATTAGCATCGAAAATACGGCTAGTGCTGTTTTCGTTGTTTCTTGGCTAGTTTTGCCGCTTAGAGAAAGGAAGAATTAATTTTATCGACGGAAGAATTTTATACGATTTAGCTGAATTATATAAGCGTATTGTATTTACAAATTTTCATACACAAAATTATGTCTTCATACACTGCGTCACTACCATCCATTCTTGTTCAAGAGCAGGTGAACTGCAAGAATTCAACAACTTGAAGCAACTTCCGCACCAGATGGCTTTATTTTTTAAGCGGAAGCGATTAGCAAGCTATAACAAGATCTACAAAAAAGCTTGGAAATAATGATTATTTCAACCTAGATTAACTATTTATTCAGTGCGCACTTTTCTTCGTGTCTAGGACCTTTTCTAATGTTTTTTTTTCCTGGTGGTTCAAAGAAATGTAAAGGAATGGTAGACGGAAAAAACATTTTCATCGCGAACTCCAGGGTGGGTTTTCTCGCCGACAATCGAGAACTTAGCCGGGTCTAAATGGCAGAGAACTCAAAATAACTGACAGGTTGCATGTGACTGTGGTTTTTGGTCGGCGTCTGTGATTGGATGAGAAGATTTGGGAAAACGTTGGGAAGCCAACATAAAGATGTCATAAGAGGTTGCAACTAAAACAGTGCTCAAATCAAGTCCAGAAGCATCTCTTCATAATCTCTTTGTATCGCTATGTGCCCAACAAAGTGAACAATCGCTTAAATGAAGTGACAAAAAAAGGGCTTGGCAACATACATGTAGGAAAAACCATAACGAGAAAGTTCTGACATTGGACGCTTCCCTATTACACACCTTGTTAAATATTGCATTTCACAACAAGTCACAATACAGTCAATGATAACGTTATTTATAGCAACAGGTATCGGTTTCGGGTTCTAAGCCACTGATAACAAGACAACGTAATTTTGCAATGTAAAAATAGTTTATCTTGAAACTTTCTTGCGAATGCCAAATTATGCATGCATGGGCCACTTGGGTCGTATGTAGAATTTACCTTTACCTCTCTGTAGTACGGATACTTCCATAATGTGGACACTCAGCTCTGATCCTTTGATGTCTTTGATGTCTGAAGTAAAGAAGGTCGACTGACGCACTTCATTAAATTTCCCTCTGACAATCCCAACTAGCAGATTTTTGTAAACCCAATATTAAAGAAGTACGTCACGGTTTGGGCGTCTTGAAAATGTTAGCTTAAATTTTTCAAGTTCGTCGTTTGCAATCCGAGTTAATCTTAACGATCCTTACTCTACTTGTTTCTTAATGGTTTCTTAAGTGATACTATATCTTGGTTAACTATTACTTTCAGGTTTCCTTCAATTTAAAGGTAATTTTGTACGTTGCCAAAATATTTCAAAACACCGTAACCGAGCTCTTTAATAGTTTGATACTGTGGAAAACTCGACGAATGACAAAAGCGCATTCCGTCATAATGTACCTCATCCTTGTCTCCTTTTGGTTTATTATTGCCTTCTGAACCGGGTTGTTCGAAAGCCGGTTTACGTTAACCCAGGATTAAACGTTAGCTGAAGTGTTATTTTTTCTTGTTTTACAATGCTTTTCACCTCTAACGTTCGGTTTAGCTTGAGATTATTACAGATCAAAACTGACGGGCAAACAATATAAACAGAACACCTCACCAAAAAGTTACAAAACTGAAATCAAAATTCTAGCTAATCCTGGGTTAGCTTAATCGGGCTTTGAACAACCAATTAGTTTGCGTTTTCATTCCATTTGAAAGGGGTTTTGTACTTGACATGGCGTGAATCTGTTCTTCCGCTGATGCAAAGTTTAAATATGAAAACTACTTGAACCACAAATAAATTGTGTTTTTCTAGCTCGCCGTCGCGGTGGAACACACTAATCGAACCGATTCACTAAGTTTTTCAACACTTTAATAGCGAAAATTATCAGCTAAAAGCTGCAAAAGAAAATTAAGTTGTTCACACCTATAACACGTGCCTGACCTAACGGGCTATCAGTAGGACCGAGCAATAAAATAAAAACTTTACATTAAAACAAAACCTGTGTTTGTTGAAGTAAAACTTACACAATTCATGAATTCTAAGATCCAGTCATCTTTAAATACAAGATGCAATGTCAAAAAAACGTGAACATAATTTTAACGATGAGATTAAAGCTGATTGATGTAGGACTAAGTGAATGGTGAAGAAAATGAATGCAAAGAGAATATAATTTCATTTCTAGAGGAGTGAAAGTTTGCTTTCCCTTGCGTGTTCCCATATGGTTCACTTACTTGACAATTCTGACGAGGTATTCGTTTAACGAGTTGTTTTGACGTGCAAGGTGAATTTCTAAGATCCGGTTACCGCTATCTCTCTGAAGGTAGAACTTTCCGCTCTCCACCATCCACAAAACAAGAAAGTTAATCGTCTAATTATCTTATCGCTTTGTGCTGTTTACAAAAGACACCGGTAATGAAGTCAGCTTGGCTTTCCGTCACATGCGTAGCACGGATTGCATACGATAAGGACGGACAGGAGGTCACCAAGGAAAGACCAGCCCTCAAGTAAGTGCAATTCGATTATATAAGTTTGTTCACTCAAGGATATCAACGACGCTGTGATTTAAAAACCAGTGGGCGACAACACAGCATGGACGTGCCCGAGGGGAGCACGAACAATTGAAAATGCGATGCGTGATCGCTTGTTCACGGAGCAGCAGTCGACCTGCTCTGCTCTGCATTCACAAAACAACAATTAGCATTTGTCGTGTAAACTACATAAAAGAACAATAGCCATGCTAATTTATTACCCGCAAGCAAACCGTCGAATTCAAGCGTAGCTTTAATGAAGGGGAATGTTTCCCTGTTTCACCGCCAGACCAAAACAGACTGTGCATGTTGCGGGTAACTCAAAACCAAAATTTTGGCCTTAATCTATCATGTGTCAAGCGACAGAGTAACAACAAATCTTATCTTGGACTGAAAGCCTGTTTCAATTAAGAGCTTGTTTAACGTGCAAGACAAAAGCTTTTTCTTAACTATTCTTTTCACGTCAATATATTTGCCCTGTGGTTTTTCGTTGACACTTTTTCACAATAGCACCTACGGAGCGTTTTTGAATACTTTTTGATTTCTCCGCGTGTTTCAACAGTTAATCGATTGGGCGAGCGTATGTCTCAGCTTGAAGAAACAATCATAAATACCTCAGACCTCTTCAAGCAAAACCACAAAGCAGATCACAACAGCTGACAAACAGCACGTACGACAATGGGCGGGTGAACCTCATTGTTTCGTGTAAAGTATTCAATATTTTTTTTTTTTGCTTTTGCGCAGATGAAATTAATTGTTGAAATATTTCAATATTTAAAGTTGCCATTTGAATTATATTGAGTCGCCACAAAAAAGTCACATTACACACTGCGGGCTCAAGTGCCTTCAACATCTCTCGTGACTTCTCGTGTGTTTTTATGTGTTTGGAAAACATTTTTAAAGCGTTGATAAAAATCATTGAATAAAGGTTGAAGCGATTTCCGCTGATTTGGCACATTTTAATATTCTTAACGTTTTCACTCGCGCCTAAGCATAGGCATAAGCAACACACCAAGAAGCTGTAGAGTGATGCTAAATAGCGTCTTGTGTGAGGAATTTTTCCCAACGCAAGGTGCTTATTATCAACATCTTTTTGCATCTTGTGAAAACCAGGCTTAATTGAGCAACCATGGACAAACCCACAGTGAAAACGACACACTCAGTAAGTAAAATGTTTTAAAAGTCACCTTCTGCTCCCGATTATCGCCAAGCGGAAAACATACACCCTGTTTAAAATCCATAGCGACAAAACAATTTGGAAAAATATATATTTAGAAGATAAAGAACAATTAACAGGTCAACAGCTGACCGTCGAAGGTCTTCAGGCAGCTTAACCCGCACGTACACTGGTTACCTGAAACACTGCTAAACAACCAGCTTGTAAAATTCTCCTTGGTTGTCTTCTTTCATTTCTCACTGTGATGGTAGAGAGAGTTTGATGCTGCATCAAGGAAAATTCCCTTTGTGACTAACCAGCTTTGCTCTCGTGGTACCAGCGATGCGTGAAAGGGGTGCGAACTCGAGAAAGTCATGCGGCAAAAGTAAACAACGTCTCTGTAGTTTGAAACGTTTAAAACGCTTTGCAGATAAAATAAAATAGAAGCATTATAGTACAGACCACGTGGGTAAGTTATTCAAATACAGACTGTATAGATGGAAACAGCGAAAAACTCCCATAAACTTTCATTCTTTCTTTCGTTAGCTGTCCCTCTAAATTGACTTACTGTCAACCGAAATTAAACCGACCTAAATATAGGGAAGTTATTATAACTTGGAGTGGTCTGCAATTATTGGCTGAGTCGAGCTACAGATGATCTCGGGCAAAACATAACTTTTTTATCTATCGCAAAATAAACATTGTACTGTCTAGAATTTTCCACTCGGTAAACCGCAGTTCATAGCTGTACCAACTCAGATCGGCATTACAGTACGTCAGAAGTCCCATTGGCTTTGTCAAGTAAGTTCAAAATATGCGTTAAATAGCTTTGTCTTTAGCTGGTTTGAGAAACCTGACGTTCGTAACTCTCATGCGCTGATTTCCATCTTTGATCAAACGATTATCGCAGCTTTTCAGAAGCTGGAGGTAAACCGAGAGTATTAATCGCTTCGCCGATACTGGAGCATGTAATTAACATTTAAGGCATTGAACGAGGCTTACATCAGTAAACAGTATTTTAAACAGAATTTTGAGGTTTGTTTACAGAGTCATCAAAGGCGGCGAAAGGGGGCTTTCCTCGGCTGCCGACAAAAATGGGGGGTGTTGAATATATTATCGTTTCTTTGCCCGCTTGTCGGAACTTGTTATTGGCTTGTACTTTTGTATCGACGCATTTGGAGGAAACAAATCGTCGATTTTAACCGTGCTATTGTTTCGAAGTAAGGCTTTCCCACTGAATCGAAGCGACAGCTCAAAATGAGAAGACAGGCGGACAACAACTGCTAATGACTCACGCAGGTGGAAGAGTTTTGTGCTGACTAGCGTAGATAAGCCATGGTGTCTTGGAACGTGCTTCTAATAGCTTGATAGAAAGACAAAATTCTTCAGTTCATTGCTGAGATGAACGCCAGCAAAACAAACCAGGTCACACAGTTTCACAACACCCGTGCATGCATTGAAATAACTATACAAAAAAATCGCATTAGCATGCCTATATAAATTTCAACACAGACAACAGGTTCGAAACAGGCAAACAATATCTCCCAAGTGAATACGCAAACCCTTTTGAAATACTAATGTATGCAACCATGTTCGCGTCCGTTGGTAGCGCGCTTGCGCAGTTAAACAGCGTGTGCACGACCCTTGTATTTGATCCTTTTCACTAAGAGCGTGCAGTGTGCGCGATAGGAAAACCGTGGTCCCGTGCGCTCTGTTAACTAATTTAACACCTCTTGGCGTCTGTAACGGTTTTGTGCCCCTTTGTTGATATCTACCAGGTCTTTGGAGCAGCCATGGTGAAGTTACTGCTAGTAATCGGAGCTGTCCTTGCGGTGACCGTTAGTCGCACGGGTAAGTGAGTGAGAACTCATTGTAAATAAGCGTGTCGACATATTCGCGAGTCCCTTTCCTGAGGGTCGTCGCTTTTAGCGCTGGTGGCTTGTGCTGGTATCAAATTTCCAAAACATTCACGTTCGGGAAGATCTCGGCGATAACGACGCAACGAAACCTTCGGGAGTTTCGTACGTCTCTTTTGCCACACCTTCACAAGATTCAAATAATTTGAATGTTGTTTCTTTGCTACATTGAGCATTCATACCTTTCGGCGTGGTTGTTGTTTTGTGGTGGGCGCGAGACCAAAGCAAAACCCCAGGAAACATTCGTGCTTGATTTGAAATTTGAGCCCCGTTATATGACCAAGAGCCTTAAGCCGCTTGTATCACTTTTCCACTCCAAACGATCGCGATTTTTCCCTTCTACTTCGCGCCCAAGAGTTTAAACGTACCGTGATTACTGTACCCTGGAGGCCGCTACATTGAGGATACATATTTTGTTTAGTGAAGCATAGTACAATACTTCACAAGGTGTAGATTTTGGCTGCTTCGCCTACTGAGAAATTGTTGAGTGCTTATTCAGTGTGAAAACTCTTCGATGCCAACTGAGAATTGAAAAACCCCGCGCAGCTAGCTGAGTCATCTTGTCTTTGTCTATCTTCGAATAAACCGCGCTGAACAATTAAAAAGTTGGAAGGAAGTCAAATTCTCGTGTTTGTAAGCTTTGACGCGCATTCACTGAGTCAACGAGAGTCCTTTGTACCTAATGCGAGTAGTGAACTTAATATTTAAGGGAGCTATGTTGATCGCTGTGTTAGCTCGCTTCTTGGTTGAAATTTCCATGGCCGATACTGATTCATCAAGTATGCAATATTCTCAAAAGTGTATTCCTTTGGGGCTGAGCTTATACTGTATGCATTTTATTTCGCGTTAGAAACACTCGGCTTCAACTAGTTTTACTGACAGACAGTTCTACGATGTGGTACGTACAGAATCATCAAGACCACATCGAGATGATCGCGTATTCGGTCATATAGCTTCGCTGCGATGTTGTTGTTTTTCTCGTCAAACGCATCATTGGGCAGCCCTTTTTTGTTTTACAAAACAACCAAGCCAAAGTCCATTTTCGATTTGCGAATCTTCAGCATGCCAACTCAAACAGCAAACAAAAGATTGCACACCTTTCATCGGCTGAGCACAGGGATTAAGTTTCATTTTCAACAAGACTGTCCTCTGCGATTACTTATCAAAACACCGTCAACGTATATCGGAGGCAAGCGCATTTGTTTTCATTATTTGAAAGCTCGGGTCAAGCAAGCGAAATATTTGTTTCATGCAGTCGCGTATAAAAGCAAAATTTCCTTCACTCAATACAAGTAATATATGTTAGTCGCTGAAGACTGTTATGAGCGAGCTGCAATGCGGTTATCATGATAACTCGCTATTTACTGAACTACTACGATAAAAGGTATCACCTAAACTCATTTCTAAATCTCAGAATAAAAGGATAGAAATTGGAAATGGAATTTTTGTCGTTAATGCTTGCATGACTCCATGACGAAGAAGGTACTCTTCGCATTGAATCTAAATATTGGCTTTCGCTTTTCGAATTCCGTAAATCTTTTTCTTCTTGTGGAAAAAAACTGAATTCGTTGCATTAAGTTGCCTTGCAACTGAAACCGAAAAAGGTCAAGAACGTTTTAAAATTTGTTTTCTTTAAAGAAACATAGCCCATGGCAAAAATAACTTATAGATAGGCAAATTGACAGAACACGCTAAAGACACGCTGAAGTTTTCAATTCCAAAAATATGTCTGATGCGAGTAAGTCATTTCCATTTGTTTTGTGCAAGACTTCAGGGATGTGCATACATTTAGCAGTTGACCGATATTAATACTGGATAGGAATTAAGTGAAATCATCTGTCAAAAATGTCAATAACATTGCATCAGGAAACATTTAAAAAGAAGTATGCAAATTTCGTCCAGCAAGACATAACGAACATTTCAAAACAGACGAATGTTTCGCGAGTTCGATGACCACAAATAAAATTGTGTTCCGCTAGTTTGAACCAAAAGATAGCAAGGACGAGCAACTTGATGTTGAAACGTAGCCCTATTATTATTAAGATGCACCTCAGTTTAGTATGGAAGCAAAAGAAGTAAACAATTTAAAGCTAAGTTAACTGCTGGTTTTCTAAAAACTGAAACAAGCGGAGAAGTTCCAACTGAGAAGATAAATACCAGCTAATACTATTGTTTGATATTAGTCAACAAGAGCTGGTTGTAATTGCAAATTTACATTATCGGAGACAATGTTGGACTGTAAACAGGATGTTTCCACGCCTTTGTTAATAAAATTTCAAAGGAAAACTCAAACTTTCCAGATTTTCCTTTGGGATAACCATTCTCTGTCGGACAATCTTAGGTTAAGTGTTAAAGTGATGACAAGTGCTTAAACTCGTAATTGAACAATTACCATGCAGTTGCCTTTTGAAGTATGGCCGTTGACGGCTTGCGTTCTCACTATTCTCTCGTCGCGAAGTTTTATCATTTTAAGAGGATTAGGCACCAACCACCTGCAGAAAGAAAATTTGACAATTAATATCTTTATAATAATTAGCCCTTTTTAAAAAACTTAGCAAAAAACATCAAAGATACACATCTTTTACATAAAGTCCCACTGCATGGACATACATTGTACATGTACATGTACCTGTATAGAGCTCTTTGCTTCACATATTTGCAGTAAATGGTGTGAATCCAAACGTCACGGAAAAGCTTCTACACGTGTATTTTAAGTAGTGGAGATCAACAGAAAAATTCCGATCAAAAGGCCATTAAAAGTTATGTATGGAAAAATGCAGATCTACAGCAACAAAAATGTAGTTATATAAAACACAGACAACTTATTGGGACCATTTCAGTTAACAGATCTACAGCAACAAAAATGTAGTTATATAAAACACAAAGACAACTTATTGGGACCATTTCAGTTAACAGATCTACAGCAACAAAAATGTAGTTATATAAAACACAAAGACAACTTATTGGGACCATTTCAGTTAGTCAATGAATGTTGAAGAACTGTATGGGGAGAAAGGACAACTGCAAAGATCACATCTAGCCCACAACTTCAGTTACTGCCCCACGGTAGTACATGTCAGCACGCACGCACGAATAAAGAAAAAAAATACCCCTATAAGCCAACCGACTTGCAAATGTGATTATTGTTAGTTCATCCCTACATTATTCCAAAACAAACCATACTATTCTTTTGAAATGTTTACAAAATGAGCAACTGCTCCATGTATTTGCAGAATGTCACTTCGAAACAACGGCATATAACAAGTTGAAAAAGCTTGGTTTGGACAAAACATTATCAATTTTTACCCTGCAAAGCTCTTAATTTTCTGATGCAACAAAGGTTTAAAAACACTTACATAATATATTATTTATTATTGTTTTCAAACTTGCATACTGATAACATGGAGACATAGTTTGTACATAGTTTGTAGTTTGGTTAGCTAATGCTAACCCTTTTTTCTGGTTAGCTACCTGCAGCTTTGCCATCTCAATACAGGATAAGATAGAACAGAGCTTCTTGGTTTAGAAGGCTGCCATGAGAACTCGAAGGCACAAAAATCTATTTATCTTTCAACTTGGTGTCTTGGATCTACTTGAGATCAACAGCTGTTTTTCGTCTAATTAATACAAACATGTATTTTCTGCTACTGTTTGCTTTCCAAATAACTTACATGTAACTTTATAACCATACAACCTTCTGCTTTGCTCTGAAGGAGGGTTAATATGCTCAAAATATCAGGTTTTCCAACTCAGTAAGGTGGTATTTTTTCTCAATTCCCATCTTGCTCCAAGGTTTTCTCTGAGTACTCTGGCTTTTCTCCCTCATGAAAATTTCCAAATTCCAGTTCGACATGATAGAGGACCTCGGTATGAAATCCAGCCTGGGTATGAAATCCAGCAATGGTTGATGTGTGTTTTTTTCTGAATATTGTAATTTACATAATATTTATTTTTAAGTTGACAAGTAGCTGTGTTTCACTTGCTGCCAAGACAGTTAAACAGTTTTTCTTGAAACCAAAAACTTTGTAAAACAATATCTGTGACCAGTGCCAAATCATGAACCTTCTAAGGCCAGCTACTTGACTCTTAAAACATCTGTACCTTGAACCCACGAGAATAAATGGGCACTGGCAAATTATTAGCTCAAAAAGAATATCCAGATCAGCACAGAAGGGCTCTTTGGTTTGAAACCCCACCCCTCTGGAAATTCCATGCAAGACTCGTACTTTCCTTTGAACTCTTTTAACTTTTGAGACCCAAAATCCCCTCTGAATTTTCAGTGACCTTCCATATAGAATGGGTATAGATATTATTTTTGGAACTGCACAATGTTGGCAATTGACCTGTAATGAACCCACGTGGAGAGAAGCAAAACATGTTCATACATGTAAAAGCTTCCTGCTACAGAAAGTCAAGACCAATCCACAAGTGGTCTGTACACACACCAGAGCTCTTGCCAACAGGCATTTGATGCACTACAGAAAGCAAAACAATAAAATACACTTAAATGTACGATTTCTGCAACTGATCATTAAAAAAAGAGTGGCCAGTGCTTAACATAGATTGGGCTGTTATCTTCCAACAAACATCTCACTTTCAATGAGCATTTCTTAATTGTTCTTATTTTACCTCAATTGCTTCATAGATGGAACAGTAACACTGCCAACTAATACACTCAAAGCCCAGCAAGGTAGAGACATTCCTTTTCAATGTGTGGTAACGGGAGAAAGCTTTGTGGCTTGGGTAACACCAGCCAAACCAGCACGACCAGGAAAACCTGCTATACCAAGCGTTAGAATTCCAGCTTCTCAAACAACACCTGTAAACAGGAGAAAAATCTCAGTGTCTGGAGACACTTATGAACTTACCATAGAGGATCTGATAGTTGATGATGGTGGCGAGTACATCTGTGAAGGATCAGTTGAGAGTAAAGTTTTCACTCTTCAAGTTGACTGTAAGTCCAAATTGTACCTTCTAAAAGCTCTCAAATCCATCCCAAATCAGTACTGGCCTGACTTCATGCAGCTCACCACAGGTCCCCCCATAGGTCAGTGGTTGGAGCACCCAACTGGTTTCTGAGTGGCCATGGGTTCAAATTCTGCCAGGGACTCAGAGACAAAATGCAAACTTTTAGGGCACCCCAAACAAAAAGTGCTTAGCCCTTTCAGGCCCAATAGTGCCATATGGCACAAAATGTTATAAGCTAAATATCTGGCCAATTCGTTTCAAATTTGGACACCAAAAGGATCGTTGAGAGATCTTCACATTGGAAGCATAAAATCATATCCCCTCCTGAATCAGACTTGATTAACCACTCCTTAAGTTTTTGAAACTTTTTCGCTTTACAATTTTACATTCAAGTGAATATCTGATAAAAAATCTGCACACCCAGAGCTGCAAATTAAGCTATTGTTTAGGGGTATACCCAATATATACAAGGAATGAGGTATTTTTGAATGTTTTAATTTTTGTCCTTTGCAGACTCCTCAATTCAATTTGTGACATCTTGTATGTCTGTTGTGGTGATTTAGGACATTACCCAAACAATACCTTTCAACTAGTATATCACTTGTGGTCTTTCAAACTACTGTTATCATTTTAGAAAAAAGAGGTTTTTCTCCATGGCTTAAAGGGTTAGTGTGGGGTGGGGGATAACCTACAATGGAATAGTATCCCATCAAGGGGGGGGGGGATGTAAAATCCTCTTGCTATGAAAACCTGGGTGAAGGTTGATAACAATGGGGTAACAAGCCTACAATTATCCACCTGTAATAGCCAATTTAGACCTTTCCTCAAACAAAAGGCAAAACAAGTGAATCTTACCTTTTGTCAGGCAATATACTCCATCAGAGCAAACAGGAAAATCAACCATTGCTTACTGAAATACTCAAAGATTGCCCTTTCATTATTTCCTACAAAAGGGTAACAGATCTCTAAAAGATACACTTCTTTGATCATGAGCAAAGATCCAAAATGGCCATTACTGTACATGTGGCTAAGAGTCATGTACATGTAGGCCTTCACTCCATTGTTATCACTGTCACCCCATTGTTATCACTGACAAAATTTACAAAAATACAGTTATATTTACTTAGAAGTATTTAATGCTTTCAACAGTTGAAACATCACAAGTTGTTACAAAACAAGAATTGCATCTTGGTCGACCAGGAACAATAACACTGGATGTATCTGCATATCCACCACTAACATATGACTGGAGAAAAGACGGACAAAAACTGGAATTCCCTATGGCAGGCAAAACACTTGACCCATACACTGGCTCTATTTCCATTGACAATGTCCAAGAAGCTGATGAAGGAAACTACACGTGCACAGTGAAATTTGGTACAGCAGACACTGTTGAGATTGAAGTCACAACTATAGGTAAATAATCGTTTATTTCTCACTATATCACAAAGTAAGTGCATGCAGTAGTAAACTTCACCCTTTAGCCAAGTTACTGTTTGGGGACTGCAATGCAGTTTCAAACCACCTTGCAGCTCTGTGGATACATTTAAAGTTTTCTCAGATGAGTATTGCCTTATCAGCCTTAATTGGCTAAAAATTATTGAATGATATTTTTTAAATCTCCCTACAAGACTTGGGAGAAATGAGAAAATGTCACCATTTTTTACACAGCTTCTAGTCAATGCAAACTAATGGCTGAGTGTTCAATAGCTCAGGCAAGCCAAATTAGGTCTTAGCATTTGCCTTTGTGTACTGTACAAAATTACTTATACTGATGGAAGTTCCGTCAGTATAATTACTCATACTGATGGAGGTTCGCACAGTGTGATCATCCGGGTGAGAGAAGTTCTGAAAAGAATTGTTGATGGCGACTACCCTCACCCAGACGATCACACTATACGAACTACTGATACTCCTGGGTTCAAACCATTTACACTGATGGAAGTGTTTCTCAGTTTGTTTCTTAGTGTTCCTTCTATGTGTAGTTTTACACTTCAGGGACCTGGTGCTAGTTTTCAGTATTGTGTGATTGTTCATTGGCACAAATTAAACAATCCTTTTCTGTATATGAACCAATCACAATCACTGATATATTCTCTTTAGATGTTATTTGATCCCCCATATTTTCATAAGTATCAGCATGAACTGCTCAATAGTCACTTGCAAGATGTAGTTTTTTGGGTTTAACAGACATCCTCATGGAAAAGTTAATTGTTAAATTGCTGAGTGCTTCTTCACTGCAGAAAAAAACGATCACACGTTCCTGTAAATACAGTCAACTCTCTTAAAAGCAGATAACCTCAGGAATTGGAAAAAAGTGTCCGTTAGTAGAGGGGTCCGCTTACAAGAATTATTCCCATAAAGAGACACCAAGGAAAAATATGGCAGAGTTTGCTTATGAGAGAGTAACTTACATTAGCAGGTGTTAACGTGACACTACAAATGTTACTCATCAGACTCTTGATTTGCCAAACGAACGGACAGTTCTTGCGGACAAAGGTCATGCAGTATTTCTGTTGATTAATTGCAAAAGACAAATTTCATTGCCAAGTGTCAGTTATTATCCATGCACATGGGGTGTTGTCTTGCGAGAGAACGTAAACAAAAGAAAAATTCAATTTTTCATTTTCAAATGTGACTGCGTCAGCTTACAAGAGAGCGTCCAATTTTTTATTTTCAAATGTGACTGCGTCAGCTTACAAGAGTGTCTGCTTACAGGAATGTGTAAATACAGAGTTTGACTGGGAAGTAAAAAGGGGAATTTAAAACAATGTCCGTGAGTGAAGCTGTCTGCTTACAAGAGTGTCCATTAGCAGATTGAGGGTTGACTAACAGTATTAATAATTAATAATATTCATACTAAATTGGCTAAATTGGGCATCTCCAATTTCAATAATGTAAAATGAGGCAACAGATGATTTATTTCAGATGCTTTTATCATTCCTTTACGTTCGAATAGGGTCTTGGACAGCAAAAAATAGTTGTGCTCCTCTGAGACCTAATAAAACAAAGTTAAATTAGCAAAAATGAAATCGCATATAAATTTGCCATATAATAGATCTTTCTTGCTGCATAATGTGCCTTGAAAGTTCTGTACAATTTCCTAAAATTTTTTGCCGAATGTCAGAAGCCCTGTATTACTAAAAGATACAAAATGCTTACAACAAGAGGACAATCCTTGAAATATTTATTCATGTTATTGGCAAGTAGCATTATTCATGTCATTGGAAAGCTGCAATACATGAACATCTCCCAATATTTGCAACCCTCAGAATAATTTGTATTTGCTAATTAACCTAACACTTTGTTTTGCTAAATGTTTTAGATGAGCCCAAAATACGAAAGTACCCAGGGGGCATAGTCTATCGTAGACTAACACAGGGTAACAATGCTACATTTCATTGTGATGTCGAGTCTGGACATCCAAAGCCAGAAATCACTTGGTATTTTGGGTGGACAGATACACTGAAAAAAGTTGACCCACTCTATGATGCAAGATTTACACATCCAACTGATGAAACATGGCTTATTACTGGAGTTCAGACAACAGACAAAGGCAAATATAGGTGCATAGCTAAAAACAAAGCTGGAGAAGATGACCTGAGGTTTGAGATTACACATGTTGATGGTAAGTTATTGCATGTGAAGTTGAATTATAATGTGCATGAAGTATAACAAGAAATGTAATGATGAACATCTTACATTGCTTGGTGTCTTCTTTATGGCCTGACTGTACATTAACAAGGAAAGTTTATCTAAGACAAAGCTATGTGAAGCAAAAAAGGTCTGTGTGCAAAAAGAGGACTCATGACAGAGGGTTATACCACAGGCTTCAATGTACAACCAGGATGAAATTGATTTTACTTAGGCCCGGTTCATACGTCGCATTTCTGCCGTGTCGAATTCAATTCAATTAAGTGCGGCAGAAATGCAACTGTCGATTCATACGTCGCACTTGTGTTGAATTTAATTCAGAATTAATACTGTCGGGTATGTCGGTCAGCGGAAAATGTTTTAAACGTAGAGTATTCA